GGGCGCGGGGCGGGAGGAGCCGGCCCGGGCCGGGCCTTGTTTACCGGCGGGGGGCGAGTTGTTTACGCTGGGCCGGGGGCTCTGACACTTCTCCGCTCTTGTCTCCCCTCTGCAGACCTTCCTGCGGGTGCGAGCGAACCGGCAGACCCGGCTGAACGGTGAGTGCGGTCCCGCGCCGTGCCCCGGCCTGCCCCCGCCCCGCCGGGCCTCCTCCCGCGCCTCTCCCCCTGCCCGGAAAACTTCCCAGAGTTGGGCCGAGTTGTGTGAAACCCACCCGCCGCGGTGGGCCGGGAGCTGCGACCTGCCTCGCCTGGGCCTCGGCGTGCAGCTGGCGGGGCGCGGGGTGTGTGGGGGCGAGACTCGCCACCTTCACCCCTGGCCTCCCGGGGGAGGCCCTTCTTGCCGCCGGGGTCCTGCCAGCGAGCTTATAAGTAGGCCCTGAATCCTGTATTTGAAATTATGGGGCCAGGCTGCTGCGCTTTCATGGCTCACATGGCAGAATCTTGCAGTAAACTTTTAAACCAGCAGTCTGAGCGTCTGTGCATCTGACGTCATGTTTTGGGTTGGTTTTTTTTTCTCTCAAACCCACAGGTGCCGGTGTGTTACTTTTATTCTTGTATTTCTGGGCGTTCCTAACAACAAGTAAACAAGTATTTCTAGTGAAAAGTGTCTTGGTACTTAAAAAACAAATCAGAGGTCACTTTATTTCAGAGAGAGCAAGTCCCATCTCTGTGTTTGTAAATTGGAAAAAAAGCTGAAAGTATACTTTTTTTTTTTTAGCTTCAGCTGAACAAGTTGAAACTGTTTTCCCAAAGTTCAGAGAAGTCAGAACTTACCATTTAAATAGTAACAATATTCTGTCATCTGATTTTGTATTGCTTATAGCTGCTCTAATATGTACCATTTAGTCAAAATGTGATTGTTAGGGCTATCAGGAGGCTTGTTACTTTTGAGCTTCCTGCTGTGATAGTTTACGGTAACACCAGTGATATTGTGCTGATGCAGTTTATTTAGAAAAAGATGGAGATACTTTAACAAAATAGCAAAAGGCTTTAGAGTGTACTGATACCAAAATAGTTTGCTTGAATTTGAAGTGCTACTACATGTTCAGCACAGTCATAGGCAAATAGAATTAAGTTACTGACCCAATAACTTCTAAGTTATACATAACTGAATTCGGAGCTGGCTTGGAGACTTTTAAATATCAGCCCTGAGGGCCAAAAACCTGTGAACTCTTGAAAGTCTGTTAAGCCATACAACAAAAAGATGAGTTGCCTTGCATCAATTACAGGTAACTGCTGGCAGGTGTGCTCACATCTGCACTCCTAGATGAGTGCAGTGAGCCGCCAGCGTTGGCAGGTAGAACCTTTTCCTGACACGGAGACTTCAGATGGCTGAAATGCACTGAGGTATTGCTCTGCAGTGACTTGTTTTGTGTGACAGAGGTCTCTGGAGTCAGTGATGTCAAACTGTTTCTTTATCGTTTTTGGATAGCTGGGGCTAAGCTCCCACCTTCCACCTTTTTTCAGGCCAACAATGTGCAGTTACCTTATTTTAAATTTAAAAAAAAAAAAGTCTGAGGCAGGCTTGTGAGGTTCTTGGTGTTGTGGAGTCCTTCAGTATGAATGAAAGCTCTTGATGACAGTGTGCTCTGCTGAACTGGCTCAGTAGAGCTTTATGCTTTTGACTTTAGCCTAAAGTAGGGCTGCACCACAGTCTGTGTAGGCTGCTATCTAGGAACTCCTCTTGCGCCCTGTTCTTAGATGTTTTTGTGAACCTGGGCTCGTCATCTAAAGGGAGGCTGCTAGTTTTGTACAGCATTTGCGTTGCTTTTGCTGAACCTTTTACTCTTTTTGTATATACCTTTCGGGGTACAGTGAGCAGAACTGACAGCCATATTCCAAATGAGGACATTTGGTTAATTTATATAGTGCCCTTATAACGCTGGTATTTCCTCTCTGTTCTGTTGTACACCCTAACAGTACTAGGTCCAGGCGTTAGGAAGCTGGATGCAGAAATACTAGCTGAAGTGCTTTGGCTTTGGGTCACAAAGAAGGTCAAACTAGATCAGAACTGGTTCCTCCTGACCTTAGCTTTTTATGACTGATTACTACTGTTCCCAGAACATCCCTGTAGTGATGCCTGGTTCAGTCCTATGCTGTTACATTAGTATCCAGCCGGACGGTTGGGTAGGTTATACTGCTCGTCTCTATGCATGTGACTTTATATTTATGACCACTGAACTCAGCCTGCTTTCTTGTTTCCTCCTCCACATTTGTTTGCACTGAAATAACTTTGTGGTATTCGTAAGCTTTGCCACATTATTGTTAAACAGTTATTTAAGCAGTATTGCTCCAGATGGAGAACACTTGAGTGCTTTCAGAAAAAAAAAATGCTTATTTGTCTATATCTTGTGTTCTAATGAGCTTCTAATCAATCACGCAACTTTATAGCTTGCTCTGTGAGAATGGTTTCCTTATCCCCGTTAGTTTACATTGACAGAAATTATGTAGGACTTGTCCAAAGACATCTGGCTTTTTGTTTCATGTTCTTATTGACACAGTGAAGAAACTTAGGATATACAAAATGCAGTCTATCTGTCAAAGAAAAATCTATTTTGTTTGTTTTTATTATGTTTTAAGTGTACTTTTTAATATTGTTGTAACCAGTTTATCTTGGTATATCTGTCAAGCTTCTTGCCAGCTGAGTTCCAGAATCACTTCTGGAAACTCCTCCCATAAAAAGGGGCCCACGACGTTTGCTCTTCTTCCACATAGTCCTTGACTCAAATCTCAGCTGCCAGGGCCTTTTGTGCCCGAATCCTGTCAGATGTCCTCGATGTGTTCCATCCTGTTGTGGTCACTTGGGAAAGTGCAACAAAAGCTAAGGAAGGAGAAGGTAGAGAGGAAGATGTCTTCTGTGAGCTGCTGTTGGCCTGGCTGCAACATGATTAGGTCCTGATAGTTACATGGTTTGCAGGTACCTGACGGTCCAGAATTTTAATTCTGTAAGTCAAACCTTTGACCTAAATTGAACTGTAAGTAAGGTGAATGCATTTGCAAGCTCTGGAGCAGGAGATTAATGTTCTGTCTGTTAGACTCTCGGTTGAGTGTTTGTATCTGAACTTCCCTGTCAGCCTCAGTGAGTTAATCTCGCACCTCTCACCTGTGCTAAACTCACTTTGCAGAGGTTGTGTCCTTGTGAACCCAGGAGTATGAGGTGCTGATTCCTGATGAACCCATGTGATAAAGAAGGCATCTCTTCCATTTGCCTTATTTCCAGTGTTGCCAAACTGGAAACTTTAAGCCACCCTGTAAATTGATGCTTATGGAGTTTAGCAGTGCAGAGCAGGTTAGGTAGTCATTTGAAATTAGAGGCACAAAGTTATGGGTTAGCGTATCAGAACATGGATTCAGCAGGTTAAGTATGTGCCAACCTTGGAGAATAGTGTCAGATTGAAGGTTGCTGAAAATCATCCGTCTGGAAGTTTGGCCATGCAAATGTGAAAGCCCCACTGAGACCCTTCTGTGAATTTGGCCCTTAACATTCTCTCTCAGGCAGATGAGCGGCAACTTGTACATAAGGTCTGAAACAGATTCATTCTTGACCATCTGTTTTCTTGTTTTAACTTGTTCTTGAGATGTTTTTTTGTGCTCTGCCGTTGCTGCCTTTGTTCCCTTGGATGAGGTGCTCTTGGATAAGTTGATCAGCCACAGAAGCTTTTTGTGATAGGCCTAACAAAAATAGGTATAACGGCTCCTCAAGACTCCTCTGGTAGATTTGCAGAGAGCAGGTGCTAACTCTTGTGCTTGAATATCTTTGATTCAAATTTAGGGGTATTTGCAAAGTTGGCATTCTCAGTAGAGTTGTAAAATAGGTCCTTAGAAAGCTCCTTTTGCACCTGCCCGAGAAGCTGATTCCTGTATTGGTGGTGACCATAAGCCTGCCTCTCTGGGCAGACCTCTCTGGAGGTGGTCACCATGCAGTTTGTTGTTGAACCACCACCAGCATGTCGTGTGCTTTTGTAGCTGATGGGTGGGGGAGGAATAAAGCTAGGTGATTTTCACTGGAAAGGAGACAAAAATGTTTCCACTTAATTTGATTGGCCTGCCATTGCAGGAGCTGCTAATGATGTCTGCATGGCACTCGGGGGACCACTCAAACTGGTGGAGGGAATCATAAGAGATATTGCGAGTAACTTAATCATCTCCTTTGATGCTGCAGTAGAGGTTTGTATAGTGTCCACTGCTAGATGATATGTAAGAGCACTTCTGAGGTAATTAGTGCCCTGTCCTGAAGGTGAATTTTTGCTTGGGGAGTACCAGTGAAAACTAAAACCCATTAGCTTTTCTCTCAGGAAGTTTTGCTGGGCTAGAGAATAACATGATCTTTAGGCATTAATAAGGTTTAGCCGTGATGGGGAGAGCCTGTTGTGAGAAAAAATCCTTGGTCTCTTCTGCCCATACGGCAGCAGTGTCTGTGGATGGAGGTGGGCTGGCTCCTTCTCTCTGTGCCCGTGGGAAGGCAGGGGCCAGTGTACCCTCAGCAGCAGACGCTTTGTCAAGTACAGTTTGGCTCCCCTAGTGCAAGCAGCTTCTCACCTTGTGTTAGTCCTAAAAGACCCCATATTCCCGTATTAGGAAAGGGAAGAGCAGCTCCCTTAGCCAGCACAGCTCCAAAGTTAAGCCAGAGACCGTAACTGAGACCCCCGCCCTTGCAGAGGGTCCCAATTCTTGCTCGCCTCCATGTGCGACTTTCTCATTCATATGCTATGGCCACTTAAACTCCCTGGCTGCCCGAAGGTTTAGTGTAACCTGAGGGAGAACATGCACATGCAGCAGGAGCATTGTGTAGGGTAATATACATCCGTTAAAAGAGAGGCCTCAAAGGTGCTGGAAGCCCTCTGATGGCCTAATAATAATTATTAATGCTAATAAAAATTAGTGAACTCCTCACCTCCTGACAGAAGGCTGGAATAGTAACTACAGAGTCTTTGTTCAGTCAGAGATATGAATGGGTCAGCCTTGTTCAAAAACCTCCTTCCCTGAGCTCTGTCCTCTTGCTTCCAGTCCTCTGCTGGCTGCATTTTTATCTTCCTGAATTACAAGAGGGAATGGCCTTCCCCCCCTACCCCCCCCCACCATGCTCCTGTGTCAGGAGCAAGGGGGAGAGGGATTAGTCAGCTAATTAGAAATGATCGCATCTATCAACACTAATTAACAATCCTGTGGTCTCACTTGCGTGTTCTTTTGAGCTGCTCCCCTTCGGGATGGTGCCACAATCACCCCCTGCCTTTGGGGCCGCTCTGTCCCTTCTGCGCTGATTGGAAGTGATAGCCGGGCTGCGTG